GCACTAATAAAATGTAAATAAATTGATTCTTATTTTTGTATTTAATTTAAAATAAAATAAACAAACTAAAATGATTTATTTATGAATCGATTATAATATTAATAGGGATATGCATTAATAAAATGTAAATAAATTGATTGATAAATATTTTCCAATATAAATGTAATCATCGGTTGTTTAAATCTGGCACGTTGAAAAATTCAAAGGATAAAGTGTCACAACACGAAGGAACACACTTTATTTTTCAGAACTCGCGTGAGCCTTGGGGCTCAACGGATATTTATGTTTAGTGATAAGCCCTGAATGCTTATATTTCGCATTCCTCAGCGATGAATGTCTCACGGTGTCAAGACTTTTTATTAATCGATTACAATTTTCTTTGGATTCACAAAAATCCATTTATTATAAGATGAAATTTTTAACTTATACAAATAAACAGAAAAATGAATAAAAATCTAAATTATAATTAATATTGTTTTGTAGCTCACATCGAACAGGCAGTAAAAATTTTGTCACGTATAATATTTTCAATAAATTTATTCCAGTATTTTATTACTTATTATACGCGGATTGCAGAAAAAAGTTTCTTCATTTTTGTTTGTTTGTCGATAGATTATAATTTTAATATCGCATATAATTAATTTTAATATTAAATTAGCATCTAGAGCAATACTCGCGTACGTTTGAAAGCTAACACAACAACATATCACAGAATAATTCAAACAAAAATAATTGTGATATTTATTTCAATCAATCGAAAATTATATTGCGTCGAGAATACGAGATAAAATCAAAAAGGAAATTCCATACACTATGAAATGTATTATTACAAGAAAATTATTATTCAAATGTTTTCAATTTGAAAATTTAATCAATTTCAAAGATGCACCTAGCTCTAGTCGATCAATACACATACATAGAAAAAAAGGTCCGATGAAATGATGGGGGAGGGAAACAAAAAAAATTGAAAGAATACGTTGAATAAATTATTTTTCAATGACAATTACAAGACAAATTGTTTACACAATTCTTTCTATGTGTCCCCATAAAAAGATGTTACGTGTATACGAACAAATTACACACACAATTTAATAAACTACTGCTACTACTCTGTGTGCTTTAAAACTCGTTGAATATACCGATTAAAATGAAACAATAAGCCATTTTATGTGAGAAAAGAATGAAAAAATAAGCACTACTACGGATCTATTTCACCAATGAGCTTTTTAGATTATCCTATCTTCTCTACCACCAACGATTTACATTTTTCTAGCGTTGTTAGGAGGCTAGCTGTGTGTTTGAGGATTTTCCAACGTATGTCGGTGACACGTTTTTGTTTACGACGGAAAAATACTTCGCAAAAGTCTCGGTGAAAACGGCTTAAAATAAAAACCATAGAGAACACCAACTACTTTCTTTTTCTCTCTCTCTCTCTTTCTTTCTTTCTTTTGCAATATTCTCTTCTCTCGTATTTGTAAAGGTCAACATCGCGAATAAATCGTTGGTCCTGTCTTTCTCACGGGATCCTATGCACGAGAAAACACCACCAAGTGGATTATCTTCTCTGTTCCCACTTCTATAAAATCTTCCAACCCCCTTTTAGTTCATTTATTTTATTATACAAAAATAACAAATTAATTTTATATACACTCGATTAGAAGAAACGAATAGAATAATTTTCATTATTTATCAGAGTTAATTGTTTTTAATGTAAAATATCCATTAAATTGTAGTCACACACAAATTAAAAACAAAACTATGCGAAATATTGTAATTTTTATGAAATAAAATCCCCAATCATATTTAAACACGTAAGTTTAATTGTTTCGATTAATTCATTGAAAATGAAACTCTATTGTATTTAACAGTGTCTAAAAGTTTTGGTTTTTCTACTAACGATAAGTTAATTAACGATGTACGAATATTTATGAATTTTTTTCCATTTTGTAATGTAAGTTTTATTGAGACAAAAAAAAAAAAAAAAAAAAAGAAGCTTTGAAAAATCAGGTATTACATAGCATAATACAAACTTCATTTCAATGGTTAATTGGTTACATTCATTCACGATAAGAATATTTCAAAATGAAATATATCGGATTGCGAGATAAAATAAAATATTTTTACTTATTTTAAAGATATCAAATAATAATAAAATTTTATTTTAACAATCTAAATAAATAATACACACGTCAATTACTTTCTTTAATAATATTCATCATATTATTTCTTCCTCGAGAATTTTGTTTATTATATAAATACCGAATAGAAAAAAAGAAGAAGAAAAAAAAAAAAAAAAAGAAAAATACCATTTCCTATAAAACAGGAATGAAAAGAAAAAAATGATCGGTTTTTCTCATCGATAATGCTAGTTCACTATAAAGCCTCAACGATTTTCTTTATATTACGATCGTAAAAAGTCTTATGTGCTCGTCGGATTTCAGCCGAAAACTTTGGGATCTCCAATTTTACTTGCGGCTTATGATGGCCGAGCGCGCAAGAGATTATCCTCCTCTCCCATTGGTAAAGGAAAGAAAGAAAAAGAAAAAGAAGAAGAAAGAAAAAAAAAAAAAGTCGAAGTCAAGAATCGACTACGTCGTTCGAGAAAACTCGATCAATTTGAGGAAAGTCCTTTTTAAAGACTTTTACGATCGCTTATCCTACTTTTCACGCAAGATACGTTTTCAAAGTTCATTTTTTTTTTTTTTATTACTTAAACTTAAATTCTGATATTCGAATAATAAATTCGATCTATCGTTTAAGATTATTATTTTTACGATAGATTAAAATCTCATCTTTATTATCTTACTCAAAATGTAATTTAAACAAACTTGCGCCACCATCTTTGAATTTAAATATTAATTCAATTATAACAAATTATAATATTCAAAACGTATTAACGACGTATTTTATTATCGTTTTCATTCCGAAAATAAAAAAAAGGAAGCAATAAAATAATCTTTTTCAAATAAATCCGACAAATTTTATTACTCTATACCGAATTAATTCAATCGACACTATCGAGAGCTTTAAAAAACAAAACAACAAAAATGTTTCAAAATTATTTCAATGAAAAGTAAATAACACCAAAGTCGAGAAATTTTTATTCTCAAAGAGAAAGAGAGAGTTTGGAAAAAAATTAGAAAATAAAAATTAAAAAAAAAAAATAGAAAAAAGGAAAAGAAAAAAAAGGAAGCAATAAAATAAATTTTTTCAAATAAATCCGACAAATTTTATTACCCTATATCGAATTAATTCAATCGACACTATCTAGTAGCTTTAAAAAACAAAACAACAAAAATGTTTCAAAATTATTTCAATGAAAAGTAAATAACACCAAAGTCGAGAAATTTTTATTCTCGAAGAGAAAGAGAGAGTTTGGAAAAAAATTAGAAAATAAAAATTATAACAAAAAAAATAGAAAAAAGAACAAAAAGAAGAGAAAACGAAGTTGATGGTAGAAGAAAAAACAAGAAAAAAAGAAATAAGTACAAAAGGGATGAGGGGCCGGGCTGGGGAGGGGAAAATAGATAAGTAAGCTGAACAACTGCAACGATGTATCTTTTCACAGAAGTAAAATTACCAAGGGCTCGTAGAAGAACAGTATAATAACGACAGTAACGAAGTATACGGCCCTAATAAATTCAACGAAACACGAAAAGAACCACGAGGGGGGAGGGTGAGAGGGGGATCCTCTTCTATCTTTCTTTATCCCTTACCCTTTCCCCATCTTCTTTTCCACTTCCACTTCTTCCTCTTCCTTTTCCTCTGTGCCACTCCTTGATTTTCGTGGTCTCCAATCTTACAGGGAAGGGAAACGAAAGTTTGAAGTAGAACGTCGTCTCGGTATCACCGATAAAACCAGTACTTTCTTACGAAACAACTGTGTCGAAGAATTCCCCCCCCCCTCCTCTATCCCCTCCCTTTTCCCATTCCACCCACCTCTCAACCTCTCTCCTTTTCTTCGACTATACTTTAACCCTTTTCCAGCAAATACTCTATTACACCTTTCTACTTTAATTACACCACCACTTAGCGTCAAATGACGATGCAATTCGACCAAACGGATTCACCTGTCCTATTCTTAGCTCTCTGGTTGTCGTTTTTCACGAACATATATAAACATTTCCTTCCTCCTTACTTTTCTACCTGCCCTTCCTTCCTTTCTTTCTTTTCTTTTCTTTTCTCTTTTTTTTTTTCTACATTCATCACGGAGGTTTTTCCCATTCCTTTCCTTTTATTTCTTAAAACAAAGTTTCCGGGAAAGAATATATATTTTGTTTCTTCGTATCATCAAAGTTTTCTTTCGTTATTTAGTTGATTTCAAAATTATTAATCAATAATATTCGATATGAAGATTTTGTTTTTCATTGATTGTTAATTATTATTCTTCTTAATTATATTGTTATAGGGACTTTGTACTAATAATATTATTTCTACAAATTTATTCCTGTTATATATATATATATATATATTATTTATAAATTTAATTAATCAATATTCTTGTCCAGAAATAAATATTATTAATATATAAGTCTCAAAGGGAATTTTGGACGGTTGTTAAATCTTATGAACGATTTATTTTGAACCAGTTTACGTGTCAATATACATATTATCTTTCTTTCAGAGTCATACATTTCAATAATACTTTTACAATCAAATACTTTTACGTATGATTACGTATGATTACGTGTGATAAGATAAGGTGTTTAGGAATAAATTGTATTGTAATATGTTAAGTATTATTGAAATGTACATGTTTTTTTATTATTTATTTTAATTAATTCTTTCACCTCTTCCTCACAATTAGCTAAACCTAATAATTGGCCGGAGGACTCCAATGTTGGAGGAATCTTGGCAAATAGAAGTATCATATTCTGTAATATGGTTTAAATAATATTGGAAAAAATAATGATGGCAAATTTAAACAGGGACGAGTTGAGTATTATTTTTAAATTTTTGAATGGATTTGATTTGCACAATGCATCTCTAGTTTGCAGGTACAGTATTATAACATCTATTTATTTTTTTTGTAATCTAATATTTTAATAATTAATATAATATATTTATCGTACATATATTATACGATGGATGCATTTATATAATACAATAAGAATTTTATACACCATTAACAAACAAACAAAAATGTATTTCTCCTTATTATAGTTTTTGGTCAAAAATTGCCAAAGAAGAAAACAAAAGGAGAGGTTACCCATGTGAAGTAAAAACCAAATTCAATTCATGCATTGATAATTGGGACACTTTGAAAACACAACTTATAGACTGTTGCCAAGTTAAACCTTCTTTACATATATTGTTTTACGGTTTTGGAAACACAAAACAACTTCCAAAAGGTAAACATTTCATCTAACATATATATATCGAATAATGGAATATTATTATTTTTAATCTTTTCATTTATTTGTTTTTCTTATTACTTTTTAAGGATGCTATTGTCAATATCTACCATCAAATTGTATCTCGATCTCACTAGAACACTTTTTTACATGGGCTACTGATAATTCAATTTCGAGTATTTTTTTCCCGGAAATACCCAATCTACAGATATCTACGATTTCTTTTAATAAACATCCTTGGAATAAAGGAATATATTGCGAAGAATTGAAATGTTTGTTTGACGATTCATTCAGTAACGCCGATCGACTGAAAACCATATTCGAACCAATTATCAATGACGATTTTCCTACGTCAGGCTGTATAGTTTTTATTTACGAAATAGCAAACAATTGTATATTAGCATTAGCTCAATCTTTAGAAAAATGGTAATATATATAATATTTAATATTTAATATATATATATATATATATATATAGTTTCTCGATAATACATATGCTTCATTTTTATTTCGTAAATATATATTAATGATTATTTATTAATATTTAGGTTTCCAAATAAAAAAACGTCTATATTGGGTATAGCAACAGATAAGTTATCAATTTGTAATACTGTCTATAATTCACACATATGTCAACACACTGTGGATTGCACTGCTATTTTATTAAATGGCACTGATATGCAAAGTTGGATACTAATCTTAGAAAATGATTCCCATAATGATGAAAGGATGGAAGAATTCAAAGGGAAAATAAATTTAAGGAAGCACGCAATAGGTTTTACTGCCAGTGGTTATAGTAGCAGTTATTATTTCAAATGTCAACAAGAAAATTTATTTAAGAAATATTTTCCCAACGTACCGATATTTCAAATATACGGTGACCAGGCAATTGCAAGAAATGATTTTAAAGGTGAGCAAAATATTCATACAAAATACAAAAACGAAATCATTTATTTATACTTATAATTATTTATTCATTAAATTATTTATTATTTATTTATATTTATATATGTTACCGTCAAAGCTAAAAATCAGTCATTGCTAGTAATTCCTCGTCATTACTATGAATGCAAAGAGCCTTCAAACGAAGTCGAAAAATGAAAAATTCTTTCAGTTTTTCCTAGGCATCGAACATAATACTTTGATATTCTATAGAAAATGTCAGAAGATGCAATGCTGTAAAATTGTGCATCTTTGCAATTTCTTTGAAAAGTTTTGGTAAATATTTTTTATACTAAAAGTAAATAGATTTTAATAAAACTTATATTAAATTAAAGTAAACTCTTTTTTCTACGCGTAGAATACCATATCAAGTTATAAATTTAGCATGTAAAGTTCAGAAAATGCCAGAGAATGCAATGCTGTAAATTGTACAACTTCGCCATTTCTTTGAAAAGTTTCGGCAAATATTTTTTATATTTAGACCATGCGAATTTTAATAAAACTTATATTAAATTAAAGTATATTCTTTTGTCTACACGTAGAATACCTATTCGAGTTATAAATCAACCTGAAAAGGTTCATAAAATAGCAAAAAATGAGATGCTGCAAATTTTTCCTACTTTGCCATTTCCTTGAAAACTTTCGGCAAGTATTTTGTATACTTAGACCATGCGAATTTTAATAATTTTTATATTAAATTAAAGAACACTCTTTTATCTATATATAGAATACAAATTTGAGTTATAAATCAATCTGCAAAGGTTCA